TATCCCAAATGGTAACTGTTTTCCTACCTGCCCTGCCAAGGTCTTTGTCACTTTTCTTCTCCATAAATGCCTATTACCTTGCAAATAGAACAGCATTATTTGCTGTGTGTCCTGATGACAGACGATGCCTTACATGCTGTGTTTAAAGCACTTCACCCTCCTGCCCCTGTGTTATTTTCACGTAAACTTCAATTACTGTGCTTTTAAATTCTTACCACAACAAAACAATTTTTCAGTGGATTCAGGTTTAGGTGTATGTGTTCATAGCTTGTTCTCTGACTGATGCACAACATGCATCTGATTCAAAAATTTTTAAAAAGGACAGCTCTTCCCTGATGCCTTTGTTTAAGAATTCCCCAAACTTAATTTTAATATATACTGTGAGACTTTTTAGGGATTTTTGTAGTTTTCCTGGAGAGCCAACGATGGCACTGAGTGTGTCTCTTAGCAACCCGTCAAAACAAAGCTCTGCTCCAATTACTCGTAATCTGCCAACATTTTGGGCCAAACACCTCCAATGGGAATAAGCACAACCATTCCAGGCAATATGTAGCATCCCACTGTCCCATGACAACATTTGTCCCAACTTCCTACTATGTTTTGCTCCTGGGAGTAGACTTTTAGAACAACTCCTAGCTCCTTATCGCAAGATTTATCTATTTCATTCCTTGGGTTCCTGTCTCAGGGGCTGAAGGAAATCAAGTACCACACAGGGCTCAAACCTGGGGCAAAGCCAACAGCAGCAACAGGAGTTGGAGTCAAGCACTGCTTCTTACAGCACAATTCTTCTGTCACCATGTCACAGCAACCTATAGAGCACCCTTGAAAGACTTGGAAATTAGGACCCTTCCTGATGAACACACGTATGAATGTTATTCTTTTACACTGCTGTATGCAAGCTAGTAAAAAGAAAGATGTGGCACTGAAGGGCATGGTTAGCTGTATGGTGGTGATGGTGGATGGTTGGACTATGTGATCCTAATTGTCTTTTCTGACCTGAACAATTCTACATTTCTAAACATAGCCAAGTCATTTCCTTCTAAAATGAACAGAACAGTTGTTAGAGTTATTAACACGAAGCACAGCAAATTGTTGTTACTTTCTAAAAAAAAAAAACCAAAAAGCAGCTGTAAGTTCCCTAATGGGCTGCCACATGGTTGCAATGGAAAGCATTCCAAGGTGTCAGTGGAATGGACGTGCCTCTAAATAAATCCTTACAGCCAAGTTCTCATCTTTGCTACTGAGAGCTGAAAAGGCACTGCCTGCATTTTCAGTGTACCTAAAACAAAACCAAAACAAAACAAAACAAAAACCAACAACAAAAATTGCTCTGTGTTTGGAGTCTTACAAATGAGTACTTATTCGTCTTAGGCAGTTGTCCCTGTTTTGTGTTCCACTGCAAATAAGGAGCTTAATCTCAAGATAATTCAATCCAGCACTGCATCTCGGAGCTCTAGCGACAGGCGTGAAATTGTTTTATCTTTTTTGTTCTTGGTGCACGGCGCTGATTGGGTGAGCGTGCGGACCATCTGCTGCCGAGGTAACTCTGGGGATCCTTGTCAAATTGATTGTGCTCAGAAACAACTGAGACAGAGGAAAAATAGAGTTTCTAATTACATTTTAGCCGGGATCTTGTTCGACTCAAGGAAGTGGTAATTCAAAAATAAATGGCTTTGGTGGGCATCTTAGAATCTTTAATTAACAAATTACTCCATTAACGCACACATTGTTTTCCAGGTGAGTGAGATCATTTGCCCCTGGGGCTTTTCTTCCATATGCCTTCTTTTCCTCCAGCTAAATGTGTAGCAAATTGAAGTATTCATTTTGATTATATAAAGCACACGGGTATACAATTATATAAAAAGAAAGATGACATTTGTTTCCCCTTTACCCCAGGGCCCCTACAGGCTCGCCCCTCCCTGAAAAACATGGCATACGTTTATTACACTATATATTTCCTGTTATTGAATTTTTCCTTTCTTTTTCCTCTGTCTTTTTGTAAGGGTGCTTTTGAAACAAGCCTTTGCTGGAAACAACAGGATAATGGTTATTTACAAGTTGCCACTAAAATAATGAGATTTTCTCCCAGAGGTTTTGTATGATATGTGTCTGTGCTGTGTGACCAATTTGGACATTTTAGGAACGGATTTATTTCACAATGTGAAATGTAAACAATATATTTTCTAAACTTAATGAACACCTATCAAATATTGATGGAAATACAGTTAGCTTAAAGTTTAGTTTTATTAAATCCTTCTTAATTATTTATGCCTTATTGAATAACTAATCTGTATTTGACTTCCTTTTTATGCATTATTTTACACAGAAGCTTTCCATACAAACAGGGAATCAATCCCACAACCTATGCTCTGCTGGATGTGCTCCCGTTCCACTGCAGTCCCAATGGTTACTGGAGCAGTAAATGAAATAATGGGAAAGTTAGCTTGAATATGTAACATGGCAACATTGTCTGGGAAAGTTAGCTTGAACATGTAACATGGCAACATTGTCTGTGAACTACATGAAATCGCCAGTGATTTCCGAAGCATAATTTAATGGTGAAACATGCAGGGCAGTTGTTTTTGGGGGGGTGGCGGGGGAATTTAGAAGATGAATGTAAAATAGGTCGAGAAGTGTGTGAAATAGATTCAAAGCAGAGCTCCCGAGTCTCGGTTGCTTTTCTTTTACAGTATTATAGAATCGTTTGAGTTGGAAGGGACCATGAAGGACATCTAGTCCAACTGCCCTGCACTGAACAGGCACACCTACAGCTCTATCAGGTGCTCAGACCCCTGCACAGCCTGGCCTTGAACGAATCCAGGGAAGGGGCAGGGCATCCACCACCCCTCTGGACAACTTGTTCCAGACGCATAGAACATTTCATGGGATTGGAATCTAACTGCTACTGCTTGATGCTCTTCTTTCTCCATATCCTCGGTCTTAGGAATTATTCCTTCCTCTAAGAAAAGGGCTCAGGATTTTATCCACACCTGACCTCATCCCACCATGTCTTTTGGTTGACTGTTCTGGCGCTTCCTCCTGGACATCTTGCAGAAGCTCAGCTCGAGGAAGTTCGCATCTGGTTCTCATCTCCTCTGCTGTTCTCCCTGCTCGGAGAGGAGAATGTGCATTTACGTGCATAGGTACGTACCTAGGGATCTTTTCTGTTTTTGTATTTCTGTATAAAATCTGCTTCCAACTTCAACATCCAGGCAGCACGTGACACATTTTGCATGGAGTTACTTTGTATGACAACACCTCTCTCTCTGATATTTTGCTCTGTGACAGTTACGATGAGTGCTATCTTCCATGTTGCTAAATGACCCTCTCTAAATGGTCCCTCTCTACTCGGCTCTTGTGAGGCCCCATCTGGAGTACTGTGTCCAGGTGTGGAGCCCTCAGTACAAGAAAGACATAGAGATCTTGGAAAGGGTCCAGAGGAGGGCGACTAAGATGATCAGGGGGCTGGAGCACCTCCCCTATGAGGACAGGCTGAGGGAGTTGGGCTTGTTCAGCCTGGAGAAGAGAAGGCTGCGGGGCGACCTCATTGCAGCCTATCAATACCTGAAGGGAACCTACACCCAGGAGGGGAGTAAACTCTTCAGAAGGGCTGACAACAGCAGGACTAGGGGAAATGGATCCAAGTTGAAGGAGGAAAGATTTAGGTCGGATGTTAGGGGGAAGTTCTTCACAAGGAGAGTAGTTAGGCCCTGGAACGGGCTGCCCAGGGAGGTTGTGGATGCCCCGTCCTTGGACGTGTTCAAGGCCAGGTTGGACGGGGTCCTGGGCAGCCTGATCTGAATGTGTGTGTTTGGTGGCCCTGCTGGGCAGGGGGGTTGGAACTACATGATCCTTGAGGTCCCTTCCAACCCGGGTGATTCTGTGATTCTGTGATTCTGTGATTCTGTGAAATGACAACGTGAGCATATGCTGGCTTGTCACCGTAGCAAACAATGACTTGCAGTTCTCTTGAAAATTCACGTGCTTTTTATTGCTTCTTGAGAAAATAGTACACATCACTGCTGCGGTTCTGGTCGTTTTCCTGATTGCTGGAGGATTTCCCCTCTATTACCTCTGCATTTTCTGTGTTGCCAGGTGTGAAATGAACAGAATCATAAAGTCAGGCAGTTTGGAGAACAAAAACAGCAGCACAGCCTGGGCTGGTGGGATAAGAGCATACCAAGAATGGAAAAATGCTGGGTGCTATTGGCAATTCAACACAGGTGAGATATAGTACAGTGTAAAAGATATATTTGCAAGTTGTTGTAATTAGAAGAGCTTGTAATATATATTACTGACTCAGGAAAATATTTTATCTTGTCCTTAAATTTAAATATGTGCTAAAACTCTCTTGAGGGCAATAGGACTGCTACGCTTATTTAAAAGCAAGCTATATTGATTTTAAACATCAGTACTTCCCTAAAAATGACTGGGACTGATCTGTTTGCTAGTTGCAGTAGAGGCTTCAGCAGTTAGATGATGGTATCCTTGATTCCTTTCCCAATAAAACATGTAAGATATTTTGAAATGTTGCCCTTGAGTTGAATAGCAACCATCTCCTAAGATGTTGCAGTGGGAATGGGCTTTAAAACTGGTTTCCCAGCCTAACGACTTCCGGATTTAATGAATTTTGTGTGCTGTTAGTGAGAATGGCCCGCTAAGTTGTATGGGGATTGTGATCCAAAGAGTTAGAAATGATGAGAGACCAGCAAACTGAGGAACTGTGCAGCCTCAGCCTGAGTGCCGTGTTAAGGGACAGCAGAACGCTGGGGCTAAAAATTCCCTCGGGGCCTGATCAAAACTGTTCCAGGTACAACAGGTTGGCTGTATCTGAGGCCCAAAGGATAAAAATGGCCACCGGCAGCCCAGGATGGGGAGAGTAGTGGGAGGTGCCCTTGTGCCTTAATGACTGTGAGCAGCAACATCTGTGTGCCAGTCCCACCTGCCTGCATGGGCTCTATTAGTGCTGCTTGGGGCAACCCTTCCTCCCCAGTCTTGTTCCCACTTCTGGAAGCACAAGACCTGCAAACAGCTAGGAGAGAAAATGGTGAGTAATGTGTTTTGGCTGGCTTTCTCTGTTTTTATTGCCTCTTCTATGAATAACTTTTATTTCAGACAAGATTGAAACGTTTATAATTAATTATAGGCATCAAGAGTAAAATAATAGGTTTTGTTAAGGTGTTTTGTTGGTGGTGTTTTTTCTTTAGGAACTATAAAGTGTTAACCAGGAGTCATCGTTTAATTATATCCATTCTGATTTATAATCTCAGAGGAAAAGAAAAAATGCTAGAAGCTTATCAGTAAGTGAGTCAGGTGAAGCATACGAGGAGGAGAAACATATATCTATGAATATTTGTTGTGTTTTGAAGAGAGCGTCTGAACGTTTGTCGTCTTCTGCCTTATGAGAGATGTTGTTCTGTTTGTGAGGTCTGGAATAGGCGATTATTTAACACGTTGTCCCACTGGAAGGATGAGTAGAGCACGAAGGGTTCTGCAGACTGATGGCAGGCAGGTGGAGGAGCTGACAGCGAGCCTTGTGTCGTGCTTAAAGCATTGCTGCATTTGAATTGGTTTTAACGTCTTCGGAACAACGCCGAGCACGCGGGGCAATAGGCTTTGCTGGTGCTTTATTGTCCTTTACCTTTTCCTCCCTGGTGCTTTGTTGTTGTTGTTTCTTGATGTCATTATTAGTTGCGGATTGGTCTTAATGGGCTCTTCTAAAGCTGCGGTCCGGTTCAACATGGAGTTCATCGGCCGGTATTGCTCTCTTGTTACAGCGCAATTAGTTAGAGCCCAGGCCGCCATTTGGCAAGCACAAGTAGGGGCAGCCATTTCCGTCATCCCCAGGCAGGTGCTGTGGAATGGCTGCAGAGTAATGGAAGCGTCGTCTTGGTATCTGCAAAGCACCGCGACGAATACGCTTTTAGGCGTCTTTTGGAGCGTGTTCTCTACAATAAGTAGATACTGCTTATCAGCCATGAAGGGAAATGTTAGGTTGGCCTATTTTTTTTTTATTTTTTATTTTTTTTTCTTTCTTTCTTTGCAAAATGTTCTTCTGTTGTTGCTAACAGGTGGAAGCCGCTCCACAGCTAATTGAGACGAAGCAAAACGCCTGTCCTGATGAACAGGTGTTGAAAGCACGAGCTGAGTGCCAGAGGGCTGCTACTCTGCCGGGGCAAAGCTAGCGCTTGCATGTACGTGCAGCTGTGATGGGTGCACCCTCTAGTTATACCTATTTCCGTAGATCCAAATAATTATGCGCTTTATTTCGGAGCAGAAGGCAGAAGCAGAGCGTTCGGTGGGGCTCTGAGCTCAACAGGGCGCCAGGACGTCTTTTTTGTCACAGGTAAAAGCTGTCGTGCTGAGTCATCCGCAATCCCTGTAGAAGCGATAAGGACCCTTTAACGAGCCATTGTTAACTCGGGCATTTGCACTCGTGCATTGAAGCTGTGAGGCATCTCGGTGAGCTCTCACGGAGTCGGTCGGATTTTTGATGAAATCTCCCCTCTTTTCAGCCGTAAAGAGTTGTTCACGAAGGTGCGCGCTCCCAGACAGCGGCGATGGAACGGGGAGATATGCAAAAGAAAAAAGTTTCGCAGTCTTGAAGCCTGCCCTCACATCCCTTTATCGAAACGGAAAGCAAGGCCGCGTATTTCTTTGCTTTTCGCAGGGCTGTTTAGCCAATAGGTCAAATCCAGGCGCCCTCCTCGCGCCCCGGCTGCAGCTCAGCGGCGTTCGGCTGCTGCGGAGCGCTGGGCGGGAAGGGCGTGCTGCGTTAACCCGTGCTGTGAGTCCCGTCCGTAGGAATACGTGAGTAATACACTCTGCTTTCAGAGCAAGAGGTAGCATGCTATTTTGGGTGTGTTTTTTTTTTTTTTAGTTTGTCCTTCATCGCATATTACGATATTTTTTTCCTCAGCTTATTCCGGTTCCTGACTGAAATGCCACCAGTGTTAATAGGATAGCAGAGTAAATGTCAGGAGCCGAAGGGATCACGGCAGTGTGTGTTTGCCACATGTAGGAGCCGTACTTTATTATAGCACGGTATGGGATTTATGAGCACTGCTGCAATATCCTAGATGTGCTGCTTTTGTTGGAATCTGGCATATATCAGTGTTCAAGTCAGGCTGTTGCAGCAGCAGCTCCCTTTGGTCCCCGTACCTTTCCCATACTGCTGTGGAGCTGTACAGTCCCCCTGATGTACTGTCAACTGGAGCAGGTACAACTGGCCCCTGAACGTTATTTATTGGCCTGTGAATGCAGATTACATACGCACTTTATTACCTGCTAATTTACCACCTGCTGGCTGAGGGATGGGGGAAGTCTACTATTTGTTTTATAGGAATACATTATGCCATTAACCTTTCACTCCTATGGGCCATGAGGAAGAATTCCCTCAGTTAAATCACTGCTCTAATAATGCTCTACAAATGAAAACAATGATTTATCGAACCTCATGGTGTCTAATAAACATAAATTATATGCTAACGCTTCGTATATCGCAAGGATCATGCGTACAGCTAGTTGCTCTTTTCAGGGACTGCTTGAGTTCTTTCAGAATTGTAGAATCGGAGTCATTAAGGCTGGCAAAGACAGCTAAGATGGTCTTGCCACCCCGGGGGGGGCAGCTGGCTGCAGGCTCAGGCTCTGTGCTCCGTGGAAGGAGGTGGTGCCTTCATTGGCTGTCACTGCTGTGCACAAATTTATGCGTTAGTATTCCAGCTGAGCCTGCTCCTGAGGTGTTCTAAGGATCACCAGTTTTGGAACAGAGATGGCCGTACTTGATGCGGGTTTGTTGAGGTGCTCATGCGCTGAGGCTTCTGACTGGTTCAGATGGTTGCTGCTGTACTGCCTGTGGCTGATAGAAAAGGGAATGCTGTTCAGGAGGAGCTCATCTGGAGTCCTCACAAACTGGAGAGCTGTATGAATGTACACGCAGAGGGTCTGGCCTCATAGTGCTGTAAATGGCTTTTGTCTCCTTTTCCCTCTCATCCCTGTCTTCTTCATTTCCCTCTCTGTTTTTAAAGCCTTTAGACAAGGTTCACTTGTTTTTTTTCATTCTGTCAAAGCGTTCTGCAAACTTTTAGGTATTTCTGTACACGTTGTGAGAGAGTTTGCAGCAAGTGCAGCATTTGTGCTGTATCGCCTCCATGTTTCTGTACCTTCCTGATAGCCTGCAAAGTCTCTCCCATCTATTTCAAGCATTGCCAATTTAAAAAAAAAAAAAAAGCTTTGCAATGTATGTGACATTCACCTTGGTACTGATGGCATTCTGAGTGCCTGTTGCTTTTTAAGCTAGTGATTAAGAACTGTCTGAAGTAGTTTCACACGTGGTTTGTGAATCCTCAGTCAGAGCTCTTCCGACGCTGTGAAGCATTTCTCCTTGGCTTTACAGTTGTTTAACAAATTCCTTTGCAGGTATTCTCGGTCTTGAAAATTAAGTGATCTCTTTTCCTCTTGTAAGCATTTATTTCCTACAAATAAAACGTCAGTGGCTCTAACACCATTTTTAGTAGTTAGAGATCAGTCTAGGATGTGACCAAGATGCAACGAACATTGAAGAGGTTGACCACGTGCTCTCTCTCCCGTGACCTCATTTTTCTTTTCGTTCTTTGTCGAGGTGTTTTTCCCATGCCGTTAAGTTGCTTCCTAGCAAAGCCATTTCACGCATCTTTGTTCTGCCTCTCAGTTTAAGAACTAGTTTGGAAATAAAATGGATGCAGACGTTGTTTTCCCTTTGATGGTATCTCTAACCCTCTTCAAGAAATGTATCGATTTGCTGCTCCTGTCATCAGTAAGCTTAAAGCTAAGGCACGAACATCTTCCTTCTAACACCAGGTTAAAAGAAGATGAATCAAACTTAAATAACTGGATCCCACGTAGATGACTTAAAAATGGAGCTAACAAAAAAGCTGATCTTGTGCACTGAAGGAATTACGCCAAAAATTTTCTCCCTCGAAAATACACTGTTCTGCAGTTCCTTAAGTAGTACTTAAGGTACTGAGAGAAAAGGTTTACGTGATCAAATGATGAGAATGGTAACATCAAATCACTTTAACTGAGCACAGATGGCAGAAGTTAATGGGACAGCCATGGTCCTGTTGAATAGACGTAGCGTATCTGTGAAGAGTACTGAAAACAGGGATGTTTCCTCTAGGCCCTTATCAGAAATGTTATGCCTAATTCTCAACTGCTTTAATTAGTACAGTTAGATTATATCCTTAAGATTGTTTCTTTTTTAAAAACAAAACTGTGAATTCTATGGGTCTGGGGCGTGAATAGGTTGCTAACATTCTTTGGTGATGTAATGCTCCTTTCATCTTTTTTTTTTTTTTTTTTTAAATTGCAGGGTTGGATTGTTAAGAATGAGGTGGAAGCTACAAACAACTTATTCAGACGCTGTTACAAACAGCAGCAATTGCAGATTACAGCGACCTGAAAGAAAGATGCAGACTGGAAGGTAAATGTTGCCTCCTAAAATCTTCTTCCCTTTCCCCAAGTGCTGCCTGCTAAATAATTTTTTTCTTGAGTGAGTGCTTGGCCAAGTCAGCTCGGTTTCCAGTTGGAATAGTTGACCATGGCACACGAATGTGAGATGAAGTTCATCTTTTGGAAGCAGGCATAGGTAGGGAAAGTTAACTAGCTCTATAGGTGTGTTGCATTCTGATGTTTGCAGCTTATTCCAAATCCTGGCTAGTTGTGCAGGTGCTGGTTCGCAAGTTGGGTCAGATCTAAAACTGGTACAGGATGCGTCCGTTCAGCAAGCGGGTAGCTGTGTGCAGAGGGTTCCTCTGAGTGTGCTCCCAGCTTGTTTGAGGGAGAATAATCCAGTTCAAGCATCCACTGAGGGAAATAAAATGATCTGGTGACTCTTTAGAGTGAGTCTAGTCAGCTTCTGCTTACCTTCAAGCTTGATATGGCTAACTGATGAAAATGGCATTTGATCGTCATGATCCAGTATTAATTAACAACCATTTTTCACGTTTTTATTGGAAATACAATGATGGTCGATGCCACAACTGTGGTGGCTCAGATACTGATCAGTATATGTGACTGAGCCAAGGTCACAGTTCAGTAATGGAAGAAGATCTTCAGTGTTCTTTTAGTCGCCTGGTTTTCAGAGAACAGGAAAATGTACTCAGACAGTTTGTTCTTACTCCTCCTGTGCTTCCTTACAGCTTTTGCTGTAAGTTTGTTGTACTATTACAGAAAAACCTGACAATTTTGTGGTCTCACAGCTATGAAGTTCCTATGGTTTTCTCTAAAATTGCTCCTTGGGCTGCTTGTTGGAGGTGCAAACATTTCTCACTCTGCCTGGCTGCTGTTTGCTGCTCCCTGAGCATGCATATAGCCACAGTGTGAGTTGTCATGCAGGTGATGGAACAAATCGAAAATGTGCATGGGGGACGCTGAGGGCCCTGTGGAGGGGCTGTTAGCAACAAGGGGAAGCTGGATGCTTGGCAGTTCCTCACAGTACGATGCAGGAGGAGTGGGGTAAGGCGAGAGGTACGAGGTGGAGTAGCTCAGTGGGTTAACAGTGTACAGGCTGGGTAGAAGATGAATGTCTTCTGTAGGAAATCAGGGTTCATTAGCTTTGCTCCTTGCAGAAAAACATGGCATTAATTGCCTTTGGTCTCCTGGGGAACGAGTAGCTGTGTCTGAAACTTTTCTGCTGCTTATTGTGTGATCACTGAGGCATGCTCTGAACAGGAGGATGTCTTTGATGCTGGCAGATCAAAACCTGTAAGGGAAATCTTCTGAGATGAGGAAACCTGAATCGCCAGAGCCAGCTTTTAACGAAACGGAGACCTCTCTCTGGAATAAAGGAGTAAGTGTTGCTAGGGACTGGAAATACGAAGCCTGTGTTCTGTAACAGCTGATGCTCTCTGGGGCACAGCCGTTGCCTGAAAGGCATAGGAGAAATGACTTGACGATTTCTATTAGGGTGGGGAGAAGTGAGTAGCTGTAAGCGGGAGTGAAAGGGCAGTCTGACATGATGTGTGGTTAACGTGAGTTCCACTGCTTGCAAGTGTTAAATACACAAAGCAGGAGCTTTAGAAAATACCTTGCACTGCTGGGTAACGTGGCCCAGGACTTGCTTTCTCTGTAGATGCTGGTGTATTTTGAATCTCTACATTTAGTTTGAGGCTTTCTGTCCATTTGAGTGTTGTGACGCTGAGAATTGACTCGTTGTGGATGAAGTTGGTGCTGAGGGATTGTTTTATCTCTTTAACAGTGAATATATGAGAGGTGGAGAGAGAGAACTTGTGCGTGGTGTTCGCATGAGGCATAGTTCCCATCTGTGATTTCCCTCTTGATCCTCTCAGCATTCTTCTGCTCATGCATTATTCTTCTTACTGATTTCTTTGACCATAGTCACCTGAGATAGGACTGTTTATTTTCTTATCTCTGAAGGTAGCCAGTTTGCAGATACGCCTTTGGAACATATGGCATAAATTATTAGATAGTGCTGATGTAGAGAGAAATACCATGATGTGCAAAACCCAATATCCCCTAAGGATGACACAGTGCATAATTCTCTACAACAGCTCTTTACCTAGGCAGGCTGTGATTCCATTCTGCAAGCCCTGTGGCGTGCCAAACCCTGGGCAAACTCCACAGTGGTAACAGTGGTAAATCTGTTTCTTGTGCTGCTTCCAAAGTGGCACTTTGAACAAGAGCAGTAAAGCACAGGTGGAATTTGGTTTGGGCCATCTTACTCTTTGACAAAATTCATGTCACTAGGGAGTGTTTTTGTAGGGATGGAGTGGGTGTAAACCATAAGCTATGCGTTGTGTGTATGTGTGACTGAGTAAGCTGCAGAGTGATGTGACTGGGGAGTTCTTTAGAGCTTTCTGATAAAACCTATTGCCAGCAAGCTTATCTATGTTCATCCCGTATCCTTAATTGATTACTTTTTTTTTTTTTTTTTTTAAATCAACACAATTGATAACAGTGCTTAAATTTTGGTTAGTCTGCGATAATTGTGAAACAGAGAGCTCCCAGTTAGATGGTAAAGTAATAGCTCAGAAGCAGGAAAAAATCTGGGAGATTAGTTACTAGAAATGTTATTTTGCTGAAAATAGAGAAATGCATTATAACAGACAAGTGCATTAACAAACTTAAAATAAGCGTTTTATTACTTAATTTTTTTTTTTTCCTGTGGAATTCAAAGCTTTGGCATTCTAAGTAAAGCTGGAAGTGGAAATCTCAGCAGCACTGCATTAATTTTTCAAGCCTTAATGTGCCAGAGAGGGAATAAGTTATTACATCTGTTGCCCTCTGGGAGGAAGAATGAAAAGCAAAAATGAATCTCCACCGTTAGGATGGAGCCACTGAATAATAGCTGATATAAGCAGCAGCGTGGTGGAAGAAAAGCTTACAGCAGCTTTTGTGTCATCATTAGGGGTGAACATTTCTCTGTATAACTAGTGTAGCAAGATTAGGAAACATGGCAGGGCTTATTTGTTCTTCTCAAGGGGCTCTTTACAATTATGAGAGAATTTTAAATGAGTACCTCGTGCGCAGCCATGGCTGATCTATGTGAGACTGCTTTTTTTCTTTTTTTTTTTTTCTCCTAAGCTAAATTTACAGCCTTTTCAAACTGCTTCCAGGACACAGGAGAAAATGCAAGCCGGTGAGTGCACTGTGGCTCTCAAGCTGTGGTGCCTTCAGGCAGGTCGATGTGTTGCTCATCACTGCAGGGAGGGACCTGGAGCAAGGAAGGGGTGGGCTCCTGCCTAGTGGGAAGAAATCCATGGGGTTCTTGTCCCTCTAGGGTTCTTACTAACTGTTGTCTGGGTAGTAAGTACAGCTGTATAGCTTTGTAAGGGATAGCCTGGCAGATAAACAGAGGTAGACCCAGCCAGTCTTGAGTAGACAAGTATGGGAATTACGTAGGTGTCCATGAAGGCTCCAGGAGACAGAAGAGGATGTCAAATCCCTGCTGCACTGTTGCTCTTACCCTGTCACAAAGCATCTCAGCCATTAGGTATCTTTGAGCAGTATGAAAGGCTTTGCTAATAGGGTACAGAGCTGAAAAAGATCAAGGGATTATCTTCCTAGCAGTCCAGCCACTGTGCTTTTGTATGCTGTTAAAGCCGTTGCTGTGTCGTTTCAACAAGCATGTTGAAAAGATACTCAGATAATGAAAGAGGAAAACCATTGCAGGGCTTCTACTGGTTGTTTATTTCTGCCATTTTGAAGGGCTTGACCACTTCCTGGCTCTTCATTGGAACATCAGGTGTCATCATGACCTGTGGAGGAAGGAAGCCAGCTGAGACCAAATATTTAAGGCCTTTTAGAATTTCTCTTTCCTTTGTTGAAAAGAAAATTAGAATACTAAGTATAGATTTTCAACTTCATCTTTATTTGATCAATCTTTAAGTAGCTTTTTAAGTCACTTTATTGTAGACTGCCATTGACTGGGGATCTAAGGAAAGCCCACTTCACCCAATGGAGCTCACTGTTTTGTCTGAGAGTCTTTGTGTGCATTTCTGCTAATTAGTGTTCAAGTGATATTATTTTCATGGAATGGCTATGCCTTGTCAAGGGTTTGTCTGAGATCTGTGTTACTGAATGCTGTGGCAATTTACTGGACCACAGGACATAAGGCATCAAGAAAGCATGTTTTAAGCCTGATGTGAGCTAATAGAGAAAGGAAGTGAAAACTGAAGCAGCTAATGGAATCGTTCTGTCCCTAATTCATTGCAAATACCATCAAATTGCTCTGCTTTATTGAGGCAACCTAGCAACAGCCTTTGACTGTCCCTTCCATTCATTCTTTAATTTTCTTAATACTTGTATTTGTCTTGGGCAAAGCCAGAGCAGTTGTTAGTATGTAGATTTAGCTGAAATCAGCCTTCCTAAGCTTGATTCATCGCTATTTAATTCAAGGTTGTTGGACATCTTTGGTGTAGTCTATGTAGAGTGGATATACCTTAAACCTTACCCAGCTGAATCTGACAGCTCATCCCAAAATCCTGACAAGTCATGTGCTCATACAGAATAAATCAACATTGTCCTTTGAAAACCGATGTAGCTGTGCTACTGTCAACAGGTCTGAAATGAGGAACCTTCCTAATCGTAAGCACTTTACATGGCATTGTCAGTATGGAGCAATGATGTGCAGAATGTGAAATCATTTGTTTGTAAATGCAGAGTAAATGTGTCTCTGTATTTCTTTTGTGTGTGTGTAAACAAGCAGAAAGCCAAAAAGCTTTCCCACTATTCTTACCTCTGTGCTAACTTGTAATTAGCTCTATGTATTGAACTGAACAGAAGACTCCTCAGAAATGTGTATAAATTATTTTTTTTCATTCTTGAAGTCCACCTTACCTGAGAGGTCAGCTGTAGCTTAAGGCATGTAGAGGTTGCTGCACGACAGCTTGGGAAAGGACGATTCTGCAAGTGTTACAGAGAGTCCAGCAATTATAAGTAAGGGGTAGATCTTATCTTGTGAAGGGCAGCCTGTCTCAGAGGTAGATTAATACTTACATATCCCCTTTAGAGAAGAAGCTCAGAAATGACAGCCATTTGGATTTCTGTCTGGAAGTGCTGTCAACACCTACGCATCATGAAAAAAACTGTGGTCCCTTGGCTGCCTGTGGCTGCAGCCATCTGTTTGGATAGCACATTGCTCTCCTAGCTTGGTTGGAGTGGTTCAGTAGGACTCTGTGGGTGCCAGGCAGCAATAGCTGAAAAAGAGCAGGCTGTGTATCTCAACACGGACTGTGTTTTGTTATCAGGAGCCCTCATTCTGCATGACTGCAACAGCATTGCAAGTATCCTTGCTTTGCCAACATTTGTTTGGTACTTACTTGTCAAAGTAAAGGAAGAGAGATGAGGGAAACAATCCTTGTACAATCCTGCCGAGGTGCAGTGAGAACCTTAAGCTACATAGTGTGGGACAGTCCAAATGTCTTTAAGGTGGTCGTCTCCCAAGACCGATTGTGAAGAACCACTGCGTTTTTGTTACCCAGTGAATCAGCTGGGACTTGTGGTGTAGAATTGGTCATTCAGGTCCAGGATGGGAGGCAGTGAAAAGCACCAATTGCGTTGCTATTGGGTATGGACACAGCACTTTAAAAAACAAACAAACAAAAATCTCCACATTCATTAACCATGTCTTCTAAGTGGGAAGATCTGCAGAGCTACAAGATGCTGTAACTGTTAAGTTGTTTTATATGCTGTGGATTTCCCTTATTTTTGTTCTACATTTAACAGTAGGATGATTTCACTCAGGAAAAAATCAGCCGTGATAATTAATTCATTAGATACTCAATGGACTGATGTTTATCTCAGTTAACTTCTTCAGTTTTGTGTAAGAGCTTTTTCAGGTAACAAGAAACCACCAATACCATTACAGTCAATCAAAGTAACAGTGCACAAGTGTCACTAGGGGTATGATGTTTCAGAGCATCAAATCCCTGAAGATTCAGAACAGCACATTTCCTGTGCTTTGTGTGAATGTGCTGCACTCTAGGTTCCACATTCTGTAGCACATGCAGTGTCTCTCCTTTTGAAGGTGACAACAAGTATTCAGATCTGCTCTTCCTGTTACCAAGTCTGTGCTTTGTCCATTTGCTTTCCATATCCTAGAATACCATGTCCACAAGTGCCAGTGAATGAGATTATAGCTGGGGTGCATTAGACTGAGAAGAGTTCATCTTCACAGTTGTGTGTTTCCTATACTCACTCAAGTGTGTAACCAGAGCCTGTGCTGGAACTGCAGAAGGGGGCTGTGGGTTGTCAGACCTTGTGGGAAGGAGAGGTGCCATCTCAAGCTGACAGGAGGAAGGAATGTTTGATTTTTAGTTCCTCTGGTTCTGCTATGTGAAAGTGCAAGGTGCTTGGGAGGATTGAAAATAAAAGCTATCTGCTAACAAGACAGGCTTTTAAGGTTAATGGCTGAGAGGCCCACGAGTTCCCTTTGTAAAGCAGAGCTAGGTTTATGGGTAACATCAGGTACTAATTTTCCCTTTGCCAAAAAGCAGTGTTTTAAAAGGTTTTTTTCTTTCAAACTGTAGGCAAATGAAATCTCTTTATTACATGGTTCCTGTTCAGCTTTTCCTGATTGTAGAACTGCACCCAGTCTTCATGTGAAATGTCTGTTATTTGGCCTTTTTACCTGAAAAGCTTTGTTGCTTCTTACATGTAACTATTGTTCCTTTCTTTTCTCTAACCACATCTTTATTTCTTACATGCGATGATAACTTCATAATTTTCTTTTCTTCTGAGACCCCTGATTTTATGTGACCATGTCACTATTCACACTGAAATATCACATTAATATTCACACTAATGTCGCCATCTCAAAAAAATAAAAATAAAAAAGCCATGCTGAATGTTCTTGGCTTATATTTTGACTAAATTGCTGGAGAGCTGTAAAACACAGAACAGTTTCCTAGCACAAACTACAGATAATGTACCTATACCCAGCTGCCTCTACAGCACTGGAATCAGGAAACAGCAGTCTGTCAGTAGTGGACTGGTGGCAGTGGGGAGGCTGGACCACTGTACCTCCAACTCTGCTGCAACACGTGCAGGTGTACGTGAGGAACCCATCCAAGTCCTTCTCGGTGGCCAAGTGCCTTTCAACCACTATCATACTCAGCATTGCCTGCACTGGAGGAGCAGTACAGGAAGCACAGTCCTTCTATGCCTAGCTTCCAACAACCTTTCACCCTTGGTTAGACAGGTGATGCCACCACATAACTGATCTTGTAGTTTTAGAGGGTTTTGTAAACACTTCCAGGAGATTTTCTACCCATGGTGAGACAAGGTGTAATGGTCACACCTTTCCCAGTCAACTCAGGGTTGACTGAGGGCAAATACTGCAACATGTTCTGCCTGTGTGCTCTTTGTGATTGTGGGATTAAGTCTGAAGGAAAAGCCAAGTTTTGCAAGCAGTTAAAAATCGACTGCAGCAGCTCTTCTTTGTCTCTTACTGTAGAAAATAGACTCATTTTTCTTTGACAGGTTTCCAACTATAAAAACTGGCTGTGGGCTAAAAAGCCAGCACGTGAATGAGATTGTTAATTTCCTTTGGAGAGGATCATTGTTAAGTGGAACTACACTTGTTTTTGGAAGAAAAAAAAAAAAATGTAGCATCAATTGTGTTTAATTTTATTTGCTCCTAATCTCCTTGTAAATTTATTTTTCTGCTTTTATCCATTTTTCCTTTTCACACTTTGTGAATGTTGCCATAGTTACACGTAAATAGCTGATAATTTCACTCACTGAAGGAAATAATTTTTTTTCCTCCATCTGTATCTTGGTAGTTATGAAGGAAAAAGCTTTTACTTGTAACAATAAGAGCTGTCCTCCTCCACCGCCCACCTTCTTGTTGGTTGTGACCATTACAGCGGCAGTATTTGTCTGGCTTATTTTTAACTGATGATTCAGAATCTTAGAAACGCGATTCCATGACCAGAACCAACTCCAGTAGCTGTTAATATTTGAATAGGATGTGGTAAGACCTGGAAATCTGTGATGCCCAACACGTTGTGTCAGGTTCTGAGAAACCATGCTGATCTCCTAATGTTTTCAACAGTGAAGTATCACTGGGCAGAGGTGTGAAAGTGTATGTTCATGGGTGATTTAGTTTCACTTTTAAATCCTCTCCTGCTCAGCTTTAGCGATAATGTATCACTAAATAGCAATAATGTAACACGCGTAGCCCAAAATGTTACTGGAGTGGCTTCCTAAAACTTGCACTTGTATAGTCATGGTGTGGGGGAACTGCTGAATCACGACCTGAACCTCTGATGATCACCTGGGGTGAGCAGTGATTCAGCCACAGGAGCACAGGTGGAGGCAATTCACCCGTGCTGCCTGGCTGCTCCTCTCCTAGGCCCATTGAAGAGCTGACTGCCAGTGGGGAAGGAGCTCTTCCGGAGATCCTTCCTCTGGAGTTTTGCAGTGAGCTCAGGATGTGGGTAAGCATTGTATCCGTTCTCTTTTTGTGATTATAACCTGCTTAGCCAAGCTCTCTTGTTTATTTCGTAATTTCAAATTATAACATCTTTATATTCATTGATTATACACATGGTTTACCCATGAATTCTCTCAGAACTTCCAGCAATGAGACAAATGTGGTTTTCTGTTTCAATGGAAATAGAGAAGAAGCATTTGTGAAGTTTGCTAGTTTGGTTTAGCAGGTGGGAGGTGAGAGACCTGTCATCCTAAACTTGATGGCTGTTTCAAAACCGACGACAGCAGCTGAGTGCTTTAATCCTCCATCTTAAGGACGGTGTCAAGCAAGCCAGAAATGGATGGTGCTGTTATCATGTTATCATCTCTGATATTGCCTTGGAAACATTGAGTAGTTACAGTCAACTTTCCTGTAACCCTTTGGTTTGGAAAATGCAAAGACATCGTAAGTGGTCAAATGTTATTTTGAAGCAAGGATCTATTTCACAGTGGCTTCCCTGCATGCCATGCTGTGGCCCAGAAGAATACGATATTTCCAGATGAGGTTTCTACATATGAATGTGCCAAGACTGCAAATAGGCAAACATATACAAATGTATACTGATATCTAATTTGACAATTCCTTTTTTCTTTTATTCTTCAACTCATCTTTGGATGCGTTATTATCTAAATAGTCATGACTGTAGCTTGATTTTTATTATTTTTTTTTTCCAATTAATATTCTGCCTTTAGGAATTTTTGCAGTACTTAAATGTGAGAGCATGTGGAAGCACTAAGTAGGTAGACACCACTGGTGAATAGAGAAAATTGCAGAAAGCATCATCATGAAAACCTAATGTTTGCTAATAGAGTATTTCCTTGACAGATAAAAACATTTCACTGGAATGATTGGATTGCATCCTCTTCATAAGATAAAGAATGAAAGTTGGTTTTGTAGCTGACCTACATCAGTGCTTGTAAAGTATCTTATATGGTTTAGGTAATCATTTATTTTAGTGTTTGTCAGGTAGGTAGCCAGACCAAACCCTTTCAAGATGACCTCCGTTCCATGTATGTTCTGCCTCCCCAGTAAGGAGAGAATGTGATCTGCAGTTCTGCAGCTTGCATAGATATGTTTCCAAGGCTGCAAATGGAAACTATAAAATTCTCAAAGTAAATACGTTCTGAAAAATGTACCTCATTTAAAATACCATAACACCACTTCAAATCAGACTGTTTCTTTTTCTGGATATATTTTGCATTCTTCAAATATGGAAGGTGTCTCCAGTTTCACCTTGCGTAAAGAACACGGGAACTTGTAAGTCTGTCATGAAGTTTGACACTGTCTCATCCCTTTCCTTTTGTGGTTTGTGTTTCCTTTGGAAAACTGGCTGGTTCCTATGCTCCAGTGTCTGTTTTCACAATGTTCATCTCTAAAGAGAAAAATCGGTAAGAATTTAAAAATAAGTCTTGCTGGGCTTTAAGAATTTCAGCTTATACTTCAGATGTCTGACAGACTGCAGAATACATTCAGGCATAACAGGAGGAAATGATGCATCTTTGTGTAAAAATGCCTCTTTTTCTATCTTCTGAAATGCTGCCTTCTAGAAATGAGACTTTTAAAATAAACAGAGAAAAGGAAGCCTTGTAAAAAGGGTATTTTCTCTTGAAGAGGTATGAAGTCAGAGGGTAGACTTGTTCTTTAAAAGGAAACAAACAAAATCTGTGGTTTTGCTGTTTATATTCACTTGAGGTGGGGCAAATTGAATATAATGGCTGAGTTCTTCATATGGCAATCCCTGTTTTCTCTAGGGGGATGTACTTCTGTGTATGAAAATGTTTTCTTAATAATTGCAGGTGCGTGGCAGAAATACCATCTTCTGTGCCACTCAAAGTTGTTGGTGTCATTATTTGCAATATTGCTTAATTTACCCTTCTGGTTTCTGCAATTGAATATTCTATTATACTTTCAGTGGATAGTATGGTAGAATCGTTACTGTGCTTCGTAGTAATTTTTTGAAGTTGTTTTGGGGCATTCATTTGCACAGGCTTGTATGTTACGTTGTAGAGTGATGCTGTGAAATTCATATCTATCTGGGTTTTGAATGGAAAGATATTTGTTCAGGTGTTTCGGGTCATGCTTTGCTTTCATACTGTCTGAATAGATCTATAGCTGCACAAGTCAGGCACAGGTGTCACTGTTTGTTGTTGTTACAGGTGAGTGCCCTGCGTGCAGCAGGAGACTGAGAGACTGAGATTATGTTTTAGTAACATATCTGTGTGTAGGTGTAAGTGGAGTACAAGCCCAGTGTGCACTTGTGGGCTTCATTCTTTGCTTGAAACAGAGCAAAAGTAAGTAATGCACCCAGCTGTTAGAAGGAAATTATTGCACATCGCAAGCCCAACAGTCTGCCTAGCTCTGAGCAGCACTTTGGTGTTGGCCTAAACTTGGGAATTGGCATCAAGGGCAGCTGGTTGTCAGTCCTGAGTGCAGCAACAAGCTCGACTGTGTGTGACCATCTCCCCTTGGCCACCCAGCTCTGTCTGCAGCCCATCAGCTCACAGAATCATAGAATGGCCCAGATTGGAAGGGAGCTCAGGGACCTGTTTATCTCTGGCTTGAAAGCTCAGCCCTTGGCTGAGCTGGTTTTGGTGTGACCACTCCCAGTGCTGTTCCTGTATTACTGGTCGGCTTTGCATTTACTGAGGACCCATGCCTTGTAGATGGTCCTATTGCTTTCACCATAGCTGCTCGCCTGTATCAAGTGCCCCACCAGTGAGGTCTGTGCCCAGGCTGCACAGGATCGCTCTCGTCCTCTTGTTGTTGGTTTGTAGTTAATTTTTTTTGCTTTGCTGGATTGATTTTGGGTTTTTTTGTTTGAGAGGAGGGTAATCAAGTGATCTAACAGACGGCATTGATTCTAAGAAATGACCAGGATAAATGTGCCTTACACTTAACAGTGTGCTCGAACTTTAACTCTTTGCTTTGAATTCAGTGTAATGGTGCCCGTTCAGTAGTTCTGTAACAGCTCTCTTTTTTGGCTGAAATTATCAGGAGCATTGCAATGAATTCTACTGAGTTTGCTACAGTGAATGAATACAGTAAAACAGTGTACTACAATGAAAAGAGCTAATGGCTTAGTAGTTCAAAATAAGTTGTGTCCGGTAAAAATAGCAGGCATGTTAGATGTTTTCCTTTATGGCCTTTGTAAGCATAGTGTATCCAGGTTAAACTCACCACCCACTTATATGTGTCTAGTTCAGTAGGAAGGTATGCAGTGGTCTTTCTCTGTGCTATCCTATAATGTGTGGCACATGCAAGGTAAACTGCTAGTGATGTTTCACAATAAATGCAAGTTGTCCTTTGGAAACCCTGAGTGTAGGAGTTGGGTGCTGCTGGTGAGCTCAGGCAGCTTTATGAGGAAGACAAAAAGATTCCAACCTGAAGAGGTTCACCTGATCACCTATCACAAAGGGACAGTCAGAGACAGAGCTATCAGTATTATTCTAGGCAGTTAGGTACATGTTCACACAGGTGCTCAAATGCTTTCCTGAAAAAACAGCACATCCAAAGATCCCACAGGGAAGAGATTCCACGCATGGAGGGCTTGCGTCAGTGTATCTTGGAGAAGGGTGACCAATGGTTTATGTGGCTGATGCGCAGGTTCAGTCTTGCAAGGGTGGATCTGAAGTTGAATGGATTTGGCTGCAGGAATGTTAAATCTAATAGCTGAAATAAGACTGCATAAGGCAGAAGGCGAAAGGTTGTAGGGTTAGGAAGCACAAACAACTTTCCCGAAGCTTGGCATGTGACTACCTTCACACTTTACAGCACCGCTTCTTCTTCAGCTTTTTAATTTGTCCTACCTTAATGCATTTCCTTGATCACTGGTTAAGTTCCTTACATAAAACTGAGAAATGTACAGACTACGTCTGAAGAAGGGCTTTAAGGGAACTTTGATTGTTCCCTTTCTTTCCTCCTGAATGATTGCAGACATTTGTGCCAGGGGAGGTTTAGATTGGATATCAGGAAAAACTTTTTTACAGAATCACAGAACTGTGGGGGTTAGAAGGGACCTCCAGAGATCATCGAGTCCAACCCCCTGCCAAAGCAGGTTCCCTACAGCAGGTCACACAGGTCGGCATCCAGGCAGGTCTTGAACATCTCCAGAGAAGGAGACTCCACCACCTCCCTGAGCAGCCTGTTCCAGTGCTCCGTCACCTCACCCTAAAGAAGTTCTTGCGCATGTTTGTGCAGAACTTCCAATGCTGCAGTTTCCAGCCGTTTCCCCTTGTCCTGTCTCCACTCACCACTGAAAACAGTCCGGCCTCGCCATTCTGCCCCCCACACCTCAGATATTTATAGACCTGGATCAGGTCCCCTCTCAGTCATCTTTTCTCAAGGCTGAACAGACCCAGTTCACTCAGCCTTTCTTCATAGCAGAGATGCTCCAGGCCCTTCACCATCTTCGTGGCCCTCCACTGGACTTTTTCCAAGAGATCCTTGTCTTTTTTGTACTGGGGAGCCCAGAACTGGACACAGTACTCCAGATGAGGTCTTACCAGGGCAGAGTAGAGGGGGAGAAAGGTTGTTAAGCACTAGAATAGGTGCCCCGGGGGGGTGATTGAGTCACCATCCCTGGATGTGTTTAAAAACTGTTTGGATGTGGTGCTTGGGGACGTGATTTAGCAGAGGGTTGTTAGGGTAGGGTGGTTAGGTTGTGATTGGACTTGATGATCTTTAAGGTCTCTTCCTATCTGAGCAATTCTATGATTCTATGAGATGATCTTTAAGGAGAATTGCTCTATGTTAACAAGATATGATGAAAAAAGAAAGCAAGAGGAGATGTCTGAACTGTAAAGGCTGTTCAGTTAAGAATTATTATTATTGTGTGGATGTATGTATGAATGTAAGGATGACATAAAAGAACCGCAAATGGGAAATAAGGCCTCAGCGGTGAAATGATGAATTTGTATTCCCACTTTTACACCGTCTAGGAATTGAGGGTGGTGTTGTTTGTGTGTGA